TTATGATCCCAGTACTGAGGAGGAAGAGATTGGGAGGATCCATGTTTAAGGCCATTATAGGAGAAAAAGTTAGTAAGACTCCACCTCAACCAACAAGCTGGGTATAGTGACACATGCCTGTGATCCCAGTGAGGGATAGGTAGGCACAGTCGGAAGGTGGCCCTGGGCAAAAAAATCATGAGATCCTATCAGAAACATAACTAAACGCAAAAAAGGGCTGGAGATGTGCTTCAAGTGGTAAGCATGTGCCTACCAAGTGCGAGGCCTGAGTTCAAATTCCAGGGCCGCAAATAAAGAAGAGTTACATTTAGCATCTGTCTCGGGGGAAGGGTACTTCCTTGCTACAGGTGTGAGGTGTGCCCCAAGAATCTGGGGTGAATCCACTAGGGGTCAGGCTGAACAGGGTGGACGGGCAGTGACTGGGAGGCCAAGGCCATGGCCCCCATTCAAGATGCTTTAAGGACAACACAGTCTGGGAGTCTCAAGTCAGGGGTTTCATTTTTGTTTTTGTTTTGTGGTACTGGGGTTTGAACTCAGGGCCTTCACCTTGAGCCACTCCACCAGCCCTGTTTTTTGTGATGGGTTTTTTAAGATAGGGTCTCAGGAACTATTTGTCCAGGCTGACTTCAAACCGTGATCTTCCTGATCTCTGCCTCCTGAATAGCTGGGATTACAGGCGGGAACCATGGCGCCCAGCATTTGTTTTTATTTAATTATTTTCCTTGTGGCGCCGGGGTTTGAACCCAGGTTTTCACACATGCTAGTGAATGCGCCACCGGTGAACTACGCACTGTCTGTCCCCCACCTTCTGACGTTGGTTTATTTTTAACCTCTTTTTTTTTTTTTTGATGGGACTGGAGTTTGAACTCAGGGCTTCAAACTCACAATGCAGGCACTTGCCAGGTGCTGGTGGCTCATGCCTGTAATCCTAGTTACTCAGGAGGCAGAGATCAGGAGGATTGTAGTTCAAAGCCAGCCTGGGCAAATAGTTGTTCATGAGACCCTATCTCAAAAAAAAAAAAATCATAAAAAGGTCTGGTGGCATGGCTTGAGTGGTACAGTGCCTGTTTTTTGTTTGTTTGTTTGTTTGTTTATGGCAGTACTGGGGTTTGAACTCAGGGCTTGGCACTTGCAAAGCAGGTGCTCTACTGCTTCAGCCACCCAGCCTTGTTCTCTTATAAACAACACCTTTCATTTAAAACAAACTCCTCCTGCTTGAATGCCACACACCAGGAGATCAACATTTTCCTGCCTTCAGACTCATACTGCAGTATTGGCTTGTCCTAGGTCTCCAGCCTGTCTGCCTATGGACTAGAATTTAGGCCCCCCAGCTTCCTTGGGGCTCCAGCTTGTGATCTCATCCTGCAGACAGTGGGACTTGCAGCATCTGTAACCCTGTGACTCTGTGAGCCAATCCTATACTGTTTCTCTGGAAAACCCTAATATAGACACCAAGAGGTGGGTGCTGGTGGCTCACGTCTGTAATCCCAGCTACTCAGGAGGCAGAGATCAAAGCAAGCCCAGAAAAATAGTTCACAAGACCCTATTTCAAAAAAACGCATCACAAAAAAAAGGGCTGATGGAGTGGCTCAAGGTGAAGGCCTGAGTTCAAACCCCAGTACCACAAAAAAAAAACCCATTTCAGACTGACCATGCTCTGCCTCAAGGACTGTCCTCACCTGGCCATATATCAGCAAATGGATGAATGAGCAAGAAACACAATGGAATATTATCTAGGCTTAAAGAGGAAGGAATTTTTTTGGGGGTGGGACTGGGATTTGAACTCAGGGCTTTGCACTTCCAAAGCAGGTGCTCTATAGCTTGAGCAACACCTCCAGTCCATTTTGCTCTGGTTATTTTGGTTATTTTCCCAACTATTTGCCTGGGCTGGCTTCAAACCGAGCTCCTCCTGATCTCATCCTCCCAAGTAGGTAGGATGACAGGTGTGAGGTGCCTAGTTAAGGGAGAATTTTTTTTTTTTTTTGAGTCAGAGTCAGTACCTTGTGTTCCTTCTGCCTCAGTCTCCTAAATGCTGGCAACAACCCTTTTTTGTGTTGGATTTTTTTGAGATAGGGTCTCACGGACTGCCTTTGATCCACTATCCTCCTGATCTCTGCCTTCTGAGTAGCTAGGATTACAGATGTGAGCCATGGTGCCCGGCTCCAGCAATTCCTGCATCTGAACAACTCTTCAGAGTAGTAATATGATACATATTTGAATTTTCTTCTACAACGTGATTTTTCTTTTTCCTTTTTTTCCCCCTGTAGAGAAATGGGTCAGCCAGCACTATGGTGTGCCTATAGTTCCAACTAGTTACTTGGTAGTCTGGGCAAGAAAATCAGGAATCCATGAACTATTCACCCAGGCTGGCTTTGAACCTCAAGCCTCCTGATTTCTGCCTGCTGAGCAACTAGGATTACAGGCTGAGCTGCCGGCACCCTGCTTCCATTCAGCTTTTTACTTATTTTGGTGGCACCAGGGTTTGAACTCAGGGCCTCACACTTGCTAGGCAGGTGCTCTACCACTTGAGCCACTCCACCAGCTCTCCACTTAGCTTTGAGAGCAGAAGAGAAAAGCAGGGAGGCACTCAGCTAGGCCCTGGGTCAGAGGCACACAGGAGGCAAGTTTCTCTCTTCCCAACAGAGTATTTGATAAAGATACAGATGATATTTGATAAACAAAGATATTTTGAATATCTCTTTTTCCCTCTGTTACATTCTGACTCAGAGATATTTTTGAGATAATCTTTTGTTCATAAGATGCTGTGTGAACAAAAGCTACACTTCCAGTCAGAGTTCCACTTGCTGGTATAGAAAGATCACCTCCAGCTAGGCAGAGAAGGGCACAGTCAAGTTCAACCACTTTTGCTTTTAGTCTGATTCATCCAAATAAGGTCTGGGCAACCCCACATTCCTGAGGTTCTGCATCTGCTGATATGTTACAGTAAGGAAGTAGGGCTCCACAGAAAATGCTAAGTCAAAAAGACAATACCGTCTCACCCCTTGAACAAAGAAAGAAGACACTTATTTGTTTTTATTTTCAGAGACAGGGCCTCACTCTGGTGTTTTTTTTTTTTGTGTGTGTGTGTGGTCCTGGGGTTTGAACTCAGGGCCTACACTTTGAGTCACTCCATCAGCCCTTTTTGCAATTTTTTTTTTTTCAAGACAGGGTCTCACTAACTATTTGCCCAGGCTGGCTTCGAACCTCGATCTTCCTGATGTCTGCCTCAGGAGTAGCTAGGATTACAGGCATGAGCCATCCCCCAGTCAGGGTCTTACTCTGAATTTCAGGCTGGCCTCAAACCCTTATGTTTCACAGGCTGGCCTCTAGCTCACAATCCACCTGCCTCAGCCCCTAGAGTGCTGGGATTACAAGTGTACCATATCATGCCTGCCTTCAAATTAAAAAACAAATTTTTTTTGCAGTGCTGAAGATTGATTCTAGGGTGTCACACATGCTGGGCAAGCACTCTGTACCACAGCTACATGCACAGCCCTTTGCATTCATTTTATTTCTTTTTTTTTTTTGGTACTGGGGTTTGAACTCAGGGTCTTGTGCTTACTAGGCAGGCGCTCTACCACTTGAGCCACACCTCCAGCCCCAAACAGTCATTTTCTTGGTGGGACTGGGATTTGAACTCGGGGCTTCCCACTTGCAAAGCAGGCACTCTACAGCTTGAGCCACTCCTCCAGTCCCATTTCTTATAAGGTGCTCCTAACTGCTCTATGTTCCAGAGTGGAGTTGAGAGAAATCGAGGGAATTTATTCCTGTGTCTGATGAGGACAAGGAACTTCTTCAAGGTCACAAATCATCTGGTGATGCAGAATTGAGTAAAAAAAAAAAAAAAACCCTCCACAATTTCCAGTGTTGACTTTGCTAACAGACTGCTCTGAGCAGGAGCTGGAGCCTTACTTTCCATTATCTGTAAAACGGTTATAATGCAGGTAGGTGATTTGGTAACTTTCAATTCCCCGCACCTGCAGGCTCATGGTGAGTGACAATGACAAGAGGTCAGCTCCTGGATTCCACCTACCATATTCTCATTTGTCTTACCATAACCCTGCTTTGGTTTTGCAGATGAGAAACTCTTTTTGAAACACTCAGTAACATTCTGAATGTTGCAATTGAGTGGCAACCCAGAATATAGAAATTACCTTGTCAAGGTTCCCCAAACAAAAACCCAGGCTCCTAAGTGCATTTAACTCAGTGTTATTAATATCTTTGCCTGCAGGAATTCAGTTTTAAATTGTGGTGTCTTTCACCCAGAAATTAGAACACAGTCTGCTCCACGAAGGGCGGAGCACCGGAGGTGGATGCAGCGGAGATTAAAAAAAAAAAAAAAGACCACAATTAAAAAAAAAGAGGTACAACGTGTCTTCTCAGGTAAGGGCCTGGCCAGGCTTCCTACTGGAGAAAATTTATAGTAACGCCAGATATTTTGGGAAAGTAGAGCATTTTGAAAGTATTTAACAATCTTACAGATTTTTTTTTTTTGGGGGGGTGGAGTCGGCTGTGTCTTTCCCGAGGGTGTCTTCCCCTCTTTTTGAGGGCACGGTGGTGCCGACAGGCCACCTGGCCCCCGATGGCCATGGCGGGCACAGCGACGACCAGCGCAGGATGCGGACCGCATTTCCGCCGCGGGTCGGCGCAGGATCCTGCTCGACCTTGACTGGAGGCGCGACCTTGAGGCCTGCGCTCGCCTCAGTTGCTCCCTCTGTGCAATGGGGAGATGCAAGTCACCATGGGCCCGAACCTTGCCATGCTCAGGCCTTAAGCTTGCAAGCCTTGGCAACCCTGCTGGACTCCGCTCGGACCCTCCCCCGCCGTCCACGCCGCCGCCCTGCGCCGCAGCCACCTCGTCGGATCCCGCGGGCGGGAACCGGCCTCCTCGCGTCAGGACGCACGCGCACCAAACGCCCCACCCATAGACGACGTTTATAGGCTAGCGAGGCCGTCAATCCAGGCTGGACTCAGTGGTGATTGGCCACAGTGAGGCGCGCGACCGGGATGTGGGCGTGGCACAAGCCTGCTATAAAAGAAGCGGGCGTCCAAGCTCGTGCCGCTTTGCAGACGCTGTTGTCCCTTGTAGCTGCCCTCTGCCAACCATGGTCAACCCCACCGTGTTCTTCGACATCGCCGTCGATGGCGAGCCCTTGGGCCGCGTCTCCTTCGAGGTCGGGTGGGCGGCGGTGCATCAGGGTGGAGCCCTGGGAACGGGCTGAGGGGCTTGGAGTCTGGTGGGTAGCGGTACTCCGCTGGCCCCGACCCTCCTCCGGAGGAGCGGATGCGGGTGGTGGCGGCGGCGGCGCCGGCGCCATTTCCTGACGAGGGGCCATTTTGGGAGCCCGGCGAGGCGCGGGGAGGCCGGGGCGGCGGCGGCAGCGGCGGCGGACAAAGACGGGTGGGGCGGCGCGGCCGTTGGGGGAGGGGGACGGTCTCCCCCACCCCCGCCTGGCCTCGGGTCCCACGTGGCCGCGCCCTGTCCGGCCCGGCGCACGTGCTCGGGGACCGCGCTCGCGCCCTACGAGCCGTTGGGCCCCGCCCTGCCCTGGATGGGTGCCGCGGAGTAGAGGCCGACGGGCCTCCGTTGCAAGCCGGGAGCTCCCTCTACAGGGGTGTCGGGAGACCCCGCGGTGGGAGTGGAAGGGGATTTCTCAGGAAACCCCGCTTGGCAATGTTATGGAGGCGTGGGGTTTGCGGTGAAGTGGTGGTGGACTCAAGTGCTTTTCAATTGGTTCAAGAGACGAAAGCGTGTTGAGGAACGCACCCCGGTCATCCGGGCGCCCCCATCCCCTCCCCCCACCCCGCTCCCTAGCGGAAATGGAGAGTGGGCCTGGCCTTGGCCGTGCGCGCGGTCCGCTCCGCCCGGCGCGGGGTGTGGGAGGACTCTCGCCTGCACCCGCGATCCCCGCCCTGCACCGTGCCTGGCTGCCGGTGGTTCCCTAGTTTGTGACGGTCCATAAAGATGTTCCCTGGAACTACAGCCAGGCATGGAAAGGATTAGATGTGTGTTGAATATTGGGTTGGGTTCTGTTGTGCCCATCCCAACGTGAGTGCGCCCGAGGACTCAGGGGAATGAGTGTTTCTCAAAAGGCCATGGGTGATGATGGGGTTTTACGATCTGACTCCAAAAACTAGCTTCCCCGGAATGCCATACTGCCTGGAACATGTTAGTTGGATGAGGCCTCACCCGCTTTTATCTGCAGTCAGAGCTGACGATTGACAAGGGCCCTGTGAAACTTGGCCTGAGCTGATGGCTCAGGTTAGTAGGGCCGAATGGAAGTGAGACAGGACCTGCGGGGCTGCCGAGGAGGGACTTAGCTCTATGGAGGAGCAAAACGGAGGCTGTGACTCCGGTGCGGAGTGTGCTGCTATCAAGAGTGCAGTACTTCATCATAGCTACGTTTTAAACAAGTTGTATTTCCCAAAGGACCTGAGTATTTTCTTAAGTGTTTAAACTTCATCTCCAGCTACTGTGTGTTCCACAAGGAGGGGAAGGAAGGTTCAAAGTGGATACACAAAGACTAGTCTTGAATAGGTAGGCCCTGGAAAGCAAGACGTGACTACTGGTCTCCAGAGCTAAGTTAACAAGGAGAGAGAGTCTTCACCGCCAGTGGCCGAGAACAGCTGTGTGCTGTTGCTCTTAGGATGTTGGGAGGTGATGTACATCTGAGAAGCTGTCTAGCTCCAGAAGTAGGTGTGATGTGTCAAAGTTCTGAGTCACTGGCAGTCTGTCAGTATTGAAGTCATTACTGGTTCTGGATTTTTGGCATGTCTGAGTCTCATGTTTCTTAACCCAAGCCCGTGGGACCTTAGAGCTGGCTGTCAGGAGCAGTTCTTATTTGGAAATCAAAGTAATTACCGAAGCATTCCCTTCGAGTGAGAAAATGAATTTATGATTCAGAAGCTTCTAAAGATAGTGGTACTAAGCAACAAAATATGTAAGCATATGTTGTTAATTAACTGTTGTTTTCTCTTGCAGCTGTTTGCAGACAAAGTGCCAAAGACAGCAGGTTGGTTCCATTTTCTAAGTTTGAGTTAACTTTGTATAAAACAATTTTGGAGCGTGTATATACATACTTGTATTTTTAAATTTTTTCCCCAACAGAAAACTTCCGTGCTCTGAGCACTGGAGAGAAAGGATTTGGTTATAAGGGTTCCTGCTTTCACAGAATTATCCCAGGATTCATGTGCCAGGTATGAAATGCACTGATTTTTACTTGAGGTGCTCCCTTTATTTGGGTTGAGGCAGAATATGTTTCAGCGTGCATCTTAATCAGGCTGTGACTCGACCATTTTGGTTCCACCTAACCCTTTTCAGTTTGAACCTTGCATACTTGGCATGATTTGTGGTTTCAATGCCCCAGAGTGACAGGTTCCTATCATGTTCACAGGGTGGTGACTTCACACGCCATAATGGCACTGGGGGCAAGTCCATCTACGGGGAGAAGTTCGACGATGAGAACTTCATTCTGAAGCACACAGGCCCCGGCATCCTGTCCATGGCCAACGCCGGGCCCAACACCAACGGTTCCCAGTTTTTCATCTGCACTGCCAAGACCGAGTGGTGAGGAGGGGCACTCGAGTGGAGGGAGGTGCTGCTCTGGGAAGCCCTGGCCACTGACTTCGACGTGTCCCTCACTGCAAGGGCGTATGTGGCTACGACTCGTAGCAAGTGTGGCACAGGATGCCTTTATTTAGTCACTTGATTGATTGGGCACCCATTATTTGGAGGTCTGCTCTAAACATCTTGAGATTGGCATTTAAGTAAAGTAAGATGTCATTTCTTCAGATTGACAAGGGCCAGTATCTAATAGAACACCCTCTGGTGTTCTTAGCGTGCTGCGTGGGTTTCTAGGGACACTACTCATCTTAGCGCACAGTGCAGTCCGCTTGTTCGCCTCTGCTCGCTGGTATCAGTGGTGTTCTGCTCTCAGGTTGGATGGCAAACACGTGGTCTTCGGGAAGGTGAAGGAGGGCATGAACATCGTGGAAGCCATGGAGGGCTTTGGGTCCAGGAATGGCAAGACCAGCAAGAAAATCACCATCGCCGACTGCGGACAGCTCTAATGATTTGACTTCCTTTGTGTCACCACCAGACCATTCCTTCTAGCTCAGGAGAGCACCCTCTACCCCACCTGCTCGCAGTGTCCTGTCATCAGTGCTCTCGCTGCAGCTCTTCGGGTTCCGTATTTGCTCGTTCCCCTCCAAGTCTAGCTGGATTGCAGAGTTAAGTTTATGATTATGAATAAAACCCAAGTAACAAGTGCTTGTCCTCCTTAGGGTGTTGGTGTCTCCTTTTAAGCAGCAGCTGGTCACGGAGTACTTTTACTTTACTTTCCATGGCCTAAGAGGGCTCACTGTTGCAGGGTGTCCCAAGGTAAACTTGGTAGAGTGATAAAAGTGTAGCAGAAAACAAGGAGAGGTAAGTGGGCAATTCCCACTTGGTGCATTTACAGGTGTCCGTGAAGATTCCCTAGTCACAGGCTGTGGTGTGGAGCAGCCCTGGGTTTAAGCTCAGCACCCAGCAAGTCAAAGTCACTGTCACAAATAGAAAGTTTCATGGCCATTTTCTTTAACAGATCTTTCCCATGTTCCTGGTTGCATTCATGGGAAATGTCAGGCTGTGTGTAAGAGGGTCTTTGGATTGGTGCTCTTGGAACATAATCTGACTTAAAGTGCAAAGTACCTACCTTACCCCAACCCCAGTACAGGGTTCTTAGTGACCCAACACTTTTTTTTGTTTCTTGAGGCATCTCATACCCACACTGACCTAGAGCTAATGGCACTGCTGCCTGTGTTCCTAGAGCTAATTGCAGTTCTGAACACCACATCTGGCTGCTTGTTCTGATGGTACTGTGTGGCTCCTGCTGTGTCCCTGGCTTCCCTGCTGTCAGTCCTGGTCATTTGTTCTCTGGGTGCCTATGTCTGTTGACAGGTCTGTAGCTCGGCTGGAGATAGCCATTCTGTCACTAGTGTGTTCTCACCTTGAAGATATTGAAGATACTAGTCCTCTGGCCACATGCAGACACTGGCTTTCATTTACCAAAGATCTTGAGCCAAAGTGGACAGTTTCCTACCTTGAGCTTTGAGGAACCTGCAGTCCAGGTGGCAAGTTAATGATTGTAGTGGTTTGACCTGGTCAGAAAAGTCCCAGATGACATCACTAGAAAATTCCCAAAGGTGGGCTGGTAGAGGTGGTGCAAGCAGTAGAGTGCCTGCTCAGTGTGAGGCTCTGAGTTCAAGCCTCTGTACCACCAAAACAAAGAAGTTCCTGAAGGTAAGAGCAGGTGAATCAGCTCCACTAGCTAAAGGCTTTTGTAGGTGTCCATAGGTATCAGTTTATAAGCTGAAAAGGGGAGTGTTCCTAACCTGTGTTTGAGCTGAGTGCAGCACCAATGGTTGTCTTAGACAACTCAGACTGTGAGGATCAAGTAGGAGTCCTAGGGTGGTTTGTGTGTAAATCCCACAGACAGGTAAGTGTTCCCACCTCTGTAGGACTAACTGACCAGTGGTCCCAGCATGTAGGCCAGGCCTTGGTCCAGAGTGTGTGAGAATTGCATACAGGCCCTGCACAATCTTGTCTTGTGTTCCAGGCATGGACTTAAATGTTTTCTCATGAGTCTTAATGGTGTTGGTTGTTGCTGTGTTGAGTGTCTCCTGGGTTGTCCTTGAACACCTCAAGCTGCAGGGAAGGTTGTTTCCACTCCTGTTAGCAGGGATCTGCTCCCTGGTACTCTGTGGCTTGCTTACCCCCTTCCTCCCCGCCAGTACTGGGGTACTCACAGGGCCGTCTTGAGAAGCTGCCTGCCACAGTATATAGAACATCAATTTAAGGACTAAAAGTAGAATCCTTGAGACCCTATCTTGAAACAAAGGATTTGGTAGAGTGGCTCAAGGTGTAGGCCCAGAATTCGAACTCCAGTGCTACCAAAAAAAATTTCTATAGATGTATTGGGATTAGTTGTATAACAAAATTATTCTTTCTAAGAGTACAACTATTTTTAGCAAATTTCCTGAGTTGGGCAATCAACCATAATCCAGTTTTAGAATATTCTGTCATTGCAGTATGACACCTGTCTTGTATCTAATCCAAGCCCCTACGCCTTTTAATTTTTTTAGTGGTCCTGGGGTTTGAACTCAACCTTGAGGCACTCCACCAGCCCTTTTTGTGTTGGGTTTTTTCGAGATAGGGTCTCATTAACTGTTTGCCTGGACTGGCTTCAAACCACGATTCTCCTGATCTCTGCTAGGAATAGCTAGGATTATAGCCGTGAGCCACCAGCGCCTGGTTAGAGGTGTTGACTTGTTCTAGTGCATGATTGGGCTCACCCTCTGCTTGTAGACCCATTGCCTCCAGTAGGGGTATGGGATATGTCAAAGTGTTCCCTTGACAAACTGCATATTGTGGACAGAAGGCAAGAAGGAAGAGAAAGAGGCAGGGCCTTAAACTTCAAAGGGTGTCCCCAGTGGCCTCCCAGGACACCTCCCACAGGGTTTCCACTCCCACCAGTCCACTCCAGGGACTGATCCCTGACACCAGCCATTAGGGGCCATTTCAACATCCAAGCTGCTGCAGAGACCCACAGAATGGCTGAGTGACACCCTGTGGAAGGGAAGCCCGGGACCTGGTGGAAAGGAGGGTAAATGTGGGAAGTTTTATCATGCCTAAGGGAGGATGCAGGGGTCACCCCAAGCACAACTTCCTTGTGAACCTCAGGACAGAAGCCATGCTGGATGGTACCCAAGGTCTGGGGACCTGCTCCTGCCTTGGGCCTCCAGTTCCAGGGTCTGCACAGCCTTAAGGACTCCAGTTGACACTCCCTGCTCAGGGAGGTGGTTCATGCTGGGTGGCATACCAATACTCACAAGGTAGAGGCAGAAGAACTGTGAATTCAAGGCAGCCTGGGCTCAAACAGCACACCTCTGCCCCCCCAAAAAAAGTTCTGTTTCTGCCATACCCATTTGTGGCTATGCTAGTGCGAGGCTGTTACCCTGTCCAGTCTATCATTTTCAGATCTCCAGGGTCCTCCCATTCAGAGCACAGTCCTCTGTTGAAGGGCCAGTGTGTGTGCGTGGGGGAGGAGCACTGGGGATGTGGGGGTGTGGATGTGGTGGGCAGGGCTAGGGCAGCCCCATGGGACTTCAGCCCCTGGTCACTACCCACTGCTGTGCACAGATCTCCATTCACCCCTTTAACACTTCAGCTTCCCTCCTCTTAGGTGTTTTTGTTTGAATACTTTTTTTTTTTCTTTTTTTAGGTCTGTTTTTTTTGAATCATAATAGTGTTCAAACTCAGGGCCTGGTGCTTGCTAAGCACGTGCTCTACCATTTGAGCCACACCAGCAACCCTTTTTTTCGCTTTAGTAATTTTTCAGATAGGATCTGGTAGCTGGTATTATAAAATACACCACCATGCCTGGCTTGTTTGTTGAGATTGGAGGGGGGTTGGTAACTTTTTTGCCTGTGCTGGCCTCGAACCATGATCCTGTGTGGAGTAGCTAGAATTACAGGCATGAACCACCACACCCAGTAAAACTTTTCTCTTGAACATTTAAAAAATATTAATGTTACTTTATAAAATCTGTGGACTTTGATGAAAATTTCTGGAACTAAGCAGCTGTGCGCACAGCCAGAGATGATAGGAAGACAGAGGGACAAGAAATGTAACAGGGATACCATGATGTAGAATGTGGAGGAAGGAGGTCTGGGGTCAGGTGAGGCGGGTTGTGTCCCTTTGTAGCAGAGTATGAAGACTGGGACACAGGACTTGCTGCTAATCACAAGAAAGGATTAGAACAGTTCCTCAATTGTCTACAGGCCTGCCCCATGCCATCCTTGCTCATGGGAGGCCTACCCTACTCAGTGTGCTCCCTCCTGTGACCACTCTCAGGAACTGTGCACTTGGAGGCAGGAGACAGCCCAGTGTGCGTAAGACAGGACGCCATGTTCTGTAGAGCACTGAGCAGCACACGTTGTGGGCAGTGGCCAGTGTGTGTACATCTGAAACTCACCTAGGGTAAGTTCTTTGCAAAAGTCCAGATGGGAAATGGGCACCTGTTTTTTGTTTTGTTTTGTTTTTTTTTTTTTTGGTGGCACTGGGTTTTGAACTAAAGCTTTCTAGGCAGGTGCTCTACTGCTTGAGCCACTCCCCCAGCCCTTAAGCTACATTCTTACGGGCGGGCTTTATACTTTGTACCGAGAGCCTGGACATGGACTGGGTCTGATCTGGATTCAAATTCAGCTGTGCTATCATCTGGAGCTGCCGGTCTTGGCTGGGTTTGGCAATCTGACATCTCTGACTCTGAATTTCTTTGCCTGTCAAATGAGGCTGGTAATTGTTTTCCAGACTTATTCAGGAGGTTAAATAAGTCCACCTACAGCATGTTGCGGCACATTGGTGGTTGGTTTTCAAAGAAAATGTGGGACTGGAGGCATGGCTCAAGCAGTAGAATGCCAGCTTTGAGGAAGCCCCGAGTTCAAACCTCAGTACTACAAAAAAAAAAAAAAAAGACAATGCATATGGCCTTCCTTGTCTATAGAAAACACGCAGGGTGGTGGGTGAACTCAGCATAGGTCACTTGTCAACCATTTATGAGGTCGGGGGTTTAATCCCTAGCACCAGGCAGAAAATAAGTAAGTCAACAAATAAAGCTGGAATTCTGTCTTGGAGCTACACAGACTACGTTCGCAGCTCTTTCCTATCCGGATCTGTTGTTCTGAGGAGTAGAATCATTCCGGTGCCTGGATTTTCTCACCTGTGTGATGAGCTGCTCACCTCTTTCCTCTCAGAGGGTGAGCACAGCAGCCAGAGGCCAGGGCTGGCTGTCACCCCCTCTGTCGTGGGTGCCAGAGACAAATGACTTTCTCTAATTCCAAAGCTGAAGCCAGCATGCCCACTCACCTCTGTTTCATACAGAATGTGTTGAGTTCCATCATAGAAACTAGGATGACTTCAGCAGCAGAACCATGAGCTACAGACAAGATCAAATCAAGCACACCGATACACAAAAACTCATGACAAGACTTTTATAACATTTGGAAAAACCACATTTATGAATATTATTCAACTTTACTATATAATGTATTCACATCCAGGTAATGAGTGAGTGTAAAAGTGAGTGAACTTAGGGAAAGTGCAGGACTCAGAAAATGTTACATCTTGCCTGGTACCGTGGCTCATGGCTATAATCCTAGCAATTCAGGAGGCAGAGATCAGGAGGATCGAGGTTCAGAGCCAGCCCAGGCATAGTTCTCAAGACCCTATCT